ATCCTCTTTTTCATAAAATATGTATTACTTATTACCAAATCTCTTTCTACACATAGCTCAATTAAAGGCTCCCCATTTTCATTTACCCCTGGCAAGAGGCGTGGAGTTAAAAGATAAAGAATCACACACAAAGTGGGAGTTGTCACAGCTGCTCTTTGCTGATGACACTGTGCTCTTGGGAGATTCTGAAGAGAAGTTGCAGAGATTGGTGGATGAATTTGGTAGGGTGTGCAAAAGAAGAAAATTAAAGGTGAATACTGGAAAGAGTAAGGTTATGAGGATAACAAAAAGATTAGGTGATGAAAGATTGAATATCAGATTGGAGGAGAGAGTATGGAGGAGGTGAATGTATTCAGATATTTGGAGTGGACGTGTCAGCGGATGGGTCTATGAAAGATGAGGTGAATCATAGAATTGATGAGGGAAAAAGAGTGAGTGGTGCACTTAGGAGTCTGTGGAGACAAAGAACTTTGTCCTTGGAGGCAAAGAGGGGAATGTATGAGGTATAGTTTTACCAACGCTCTTATATGGGTGTGAAGCTTGGGTGATGAATGTTGCAGCGAGGAGAAGGCTGGAGGCAGTGGAGATGTCATGTCTGAGGGCAATGTGTGGTGTGAATATAATGCAGAGAATTCGTAGTTTGGAAGTTAGGAGGAGGTGCGGATTACCAAAACAGTTGTCCAGAGGGCTGAGGAAGGGTTGTTGAGGTGGTTCGGACATGTAGAGAGAATGGAGCGAAACAGAATGACTTCAAGAGTGTATCAGTCTGTAGTGGAAGGAAGGCGGGTAAGGGGTCGGCCTAGGAAAGGTTGGAGGGAGGGGGTAAGGAGGTTTTGTGTGCGAGGGGCTTGGACTTCCAGCAGGCATGCATGAGCGTGTTTGATAGGAGTGAATCGAGACAAATGGTTTTTAATACTTGACGTGCTGTTGGAGTGTGAGCAAAGTAACATTTATGAAGGGATTCAGGGAAACCGGCAGGCCGGACTTGAGTCCTGGAGATGGGAAGTACAGTGCCTGCACTCTGAAGGAGGGGTGTTAATGTTGCAGTTTAAAAACTGTAGTGTAAAGCACCCTTCTGGCAAGACAGTGATGGAGTGAATGATGGTGAAAGTTTTTCTTTTTCGGGCCACCCTGCCTTGGTGGGAATCGGCCAGTGTGATAATAAAAAAAAAAAATATATACAGTGGACCCCCGCATAGCGAACTTAATCCGTGCAAGAGGGCTGGTCGTTATGCGAAATGTTCGCTATGCGAATTAATTTTCCCCATAAGAAATAATGGAAATAAAATTAATCCGTGCAAGACACCCAAAAGTATGAAAAAAAAATTTTTTTACCACAAAAAAATTTTAATTTTAGTACACACAAACTGAAAAAGGCATGCACAATTACATGACACTTACTTTTATTGAAGATCTGGTGATGATTGATGGGATGGGAGGAGGGGAGAGCATTATCTCTTACTGTTTAGAAGGGAATCCCCTTCCATTAGGACTTGAGGTAGCAAGTCCTTTTCTGGGGTTACTTCCCTTCTTCTTTAATGCACTAGGACCAGCTTGAGAGTCACTGGACCTCTGTCGCACAACAAATCTGTCCATAGAGCTCTGTACCTCCCGTTCTTCAAGACTTTCCTAAAATGGGCCATAACATTGTCATTGAAATAGTCACCAGCACGGCTTGCAACAGCTGTGTCAGGGTGATTTTCATCCATAAAGGTTTGCAGTTCAACCCACTGTGCACACATTCCTTAATTTTTGAAGTAGGCACAAGGATTCCACAACTGCATAGGCTTCTCAATGTTAGCCCCAAACCCTTCAAATCTTCTTAATTTCCATACTAATTCTCACCCTTTTTACCACAGGTTGCACTAAGAAGCTTTCTTGGGGCCCATGGTCACTTATTTTCCAGAAACAGCACCGAAAACACTGTAATAATACGAAATATTCCGAGTGTATGCTTGAATGTTACCCAGCGGAGCTAGCTGTGTAAACAATGGGACGGGCGGCACATGTGAGGCTGGCTGAGGGCCCACATTGGACGCGTCTCGGAGGAAGTTCGCTGAGCGGTTTTTGTCTACTATGCGGGCAAAATTTCAGTGAACAAAGCGTTCGCTATGCGGATTGTTCGCTATGCAGCGTTCGCTATGCGGGGGTCCACTGTATATGTATATATATTATATATATATATATATATATATATAATATATATATATATATATATATATATAAATATATAATATATAAATATATAATATAATATATATATATATATATGTGTGTGTGTGTGTGTGTCTGTGTGTGTGTGTGTGTGTACTCACCTAATGTACTCACCTAATTGTGGTTGCAGGGGTCGAGACTCAGCTCCTGGCCCCGCCTCTTCACTGATCGCTACTGGATCCTCTCTCTCTCTGCTTCCTGAGCTTTGTCATACCTCTTCTTAAAACTATGTATGGTTCCTGCCTCCACTACTTCACTTGCTAGGCTATTCCATTTGCTGACAACTCTATGACTGAAGAAATACTTCCTAACGTCCCTGTGACTCGTCTGAGTCTTCAGCTTCCAGTTGTGACCCCTTGTCCCTGTGTCCCCTCTCTGGAACATCCTATCTCTGTCCACCTTGTCTATTCCCCGCATATCTGTATGTCGTTATCATGTCTCCCCTGACCCTTCTGTCCTCCAGTGTCGTCAGTCCGATTTCCCTTAACCTTTCCTCGTACGACATTCCCTTGAGCTCTGGGACTAGCCTTGTTGCAAACCTTTGTACTTTCTCTAACTTCTTGACGTGCTTGACCAGGTGTGGGTTCCAGACTGGTGCTGCATACTCCAGTATGGGTCTAACATACACAGTGTACAGTGTCTTGAACGATTCCTTATTAAGGTATCGGAACGCTATTCTCAGGTTTGCCAGGCGCCCGTTATGCTGCAGCGGTTATTTGGTTTGATGTGTGCCTCCGGTGATGTGCTCGGTGTTTATGGTCACCCCAAGGTCTTTCTCCCTGAGTGAGGTCTGTAGTCTTTGTCCACCTAGCCTATATTCTGTCTGCGGTCTTCTTTGCCCTCCCCAATCTTCATGACTTTGCATTTGGCTGGTATTGAATTCGAGGAGCAGTTACTGGACCACATGTCCAGCCTCTCCAGGTCTCTTTGCAGTCCTGCCTCATCCTCGTCCGATTTAATTCTTCTCATCAACTTCACGTCATCTGCGAACAGGGACACTTCAGAGTCTATTCCTTCCATCATGTCGTTCACATATATACAAAAATAGCACTGGTCCTAGAACTGACCCCTGTGGGACCCCGCTCGTAACAGGCGCCCACTGTGATACCTCTTCACGTACCATGACTCGTTGCTGCCTCCCTGTCAGGTATTTCCCTTATCCATTGCAGTGCCCTTCCTTTTACGTGTGCCTGATCCTCCAGCTTCTGCACTAATCTCTTGTGGGGAACTGTGTCAAAGGCCTTCCTGCAGTCTAGGAAAACGCAATCTACCCAACCCTCTCTCTCGTGTCTTACTTCTGTTACCTTGTCATAAAACTCCAGGAGGTTTGTGATACAAGATTTGCCTTCCATGAACCCATGCTGGTTTTCATTTATAATCTTGTTCCTTTCCAAGTGTTCGACCACTCTCCTCCTGATAATCTTCTCCATGACTTTTGCACACAATACATGTCAGTGACACAGGTCTGTAGTTTAGTGCCTCGTTTTCTGTTTCCTTTCTTAAATATAGGGACTACATTAGCTGTCTTCCATTTCTCAGGTAGTTGCCCAGTTTCAAGGGATGTGTTGAAGATTGTGGTTAGAGGCACACACAACGCATCTCTGCTCCTTCTCTAAGGACCCATGGGAGATGTTGTCCGGTCCCATCGCCTTTGAGGTGTCCCAAAGGGCACTTAAGAGCTTCTTCACCTCCTCCTCAGTTGTTCGTATGTCATCCAACACTTGTTGGTATATTCCCTCTTTGATGTTCCCCTTCTGTGCTGTATCCCACAGCCCCTATCCTGTCTCGACGTAAAAACTTCCTTAAATCTCCTGTTTCAGCTCCTCACAATACCCCTGACCATTTCTTGTGAGTTTCTCCACCTTCTGTCCTTAATCTGATCACCTTGTCTTTGACTGTTTGTGTGTGTGTGTGTGTGTGTGTGTGTGTGTGTGTGTGTGTGTGTGTGTGTGGTGTGTGTGTGTGTGGTGTGTTTCTTGTGTGTGTGTGTGTGTGTGTATATCTCGTGCCGAATAGGTAAAAAAACTGGAGTCAATTACAAGAACTCATTGAAAAATTAAGTCCTTTATAAAATTTTCTTTATACATTTAAGATATATTTTTCATTAAGTTAATTAAAAATTAATGACTTTGTACCAAAAGAACCTTAGGAAACTTACCAAACCTATTATAATAGCGCAATTTTAATTTAGACTATTCCAACTAAATATATTTTTATATAACAAGTTTAGCAATAACTTAATAATAAACAAACACAAACGAAAATATATTTTTCGTTATGGGGGGGGGTTCAGAATGATTTTTGCGAAATTATTGCATACACAAATTTTCGCTTGCCTAATCGGCAAGAAAGCGTTAGCTATTTAAGCCAAAATCACATGTTTTACGAATTCGGCAAGATATATATATATAATAAATATATAAATATATATATATATATATATATAAATATATATATATATATATATATATATATATATATATATAAAATATATATATATAACGCACTGAGAGCTTTGGATTTCCCATTGTATATATGCAAAGAGGGTTGTATATCGGAATGAATATATGTTCGGAGGTGTATATTTTTGCCTATATTCACAAATTAGTTTGCATCTGTCAGTACATATACACCCAGAGATGTATATGTCAGGGTATATACACTAGAAGGTTTGCATCTCTTATTGTACATACTACCAGAGTTTTGTATGACTGAGAATATACACTGAGAAGAGTGTATCTCTGTGTATGTATGTGTGTTGGTAACCTGCCTGTGGTGACCCGCAGATACTGACGGCAGCAGAGGAGAGAAGGAACCTGTCAGCGGTACATCGGCGCCTCACTCTGCAGCAGCTAGCTACACAGGTACCAGAGGTGAGTCAGCCACAACAATGTAACTACAGCTGACAAATTGAATCAGCCACACCACTCTAACTACAGGCACCAGAGGTGAGTCAGCCACATCACTAACTAGAGGCACCAAAGGTGAGTCTGTCACTCCACTGTAACTATAGGTACCAGAGGTGACTCAGCCACACCACTGTAACTACAAGTGACAAAGGTGACTCCACCACACATCTTTACTACAGGTGAGAGGTGATCAGTCACACGCACTGTAACTCAGCAAAGGTTCAACTCCATACCACCGACCGTAACACAAGAGACAGAGGTGACTCCTACACCACACCACTATAACTACAGAGACAAAGGTACTCCACCACACCACTGTAAACTACAGATGACAAAGGTGGCTCTCACCACCACAATAACTACCATGTGACAGAGTGACTCACCACACCACGTAACTACCAGTTTGACGAAGGTGACTCCACTACATCATGTAACTACAGTGACAAAGGTGACTCCACCAAAAAACAACAAAAACCCACAGTAACAACAGGAGAGACACCAATGTGACTCCACCCACACACCACTGTAACTACAGGTGACAGAGGTGACATCACTACACCACTGTAACTACAGGTGACAGAGGTGACATCACCACACCACTGTAACTACAGGTGACAGAGGTGACATCACTACACCACTGTAACTACAGGTGACAGAGGTGACTCCACCACACCACTGTAACTACAGGTGACAGAAGTGACTCCACCACACCACTGTAACTACAGGTGACAGAGGTGACTCCACCACACCACTGTAACTAAAGGAGACGGAGGTGACTCCACGACACCATTTTAACTACAGGTGACAGAGGTGACTGCATCACACCATTGTAACTACAGGTGATAAAGGTGACTCCACCACACCACTGTAACTACAAGAGACAGAGGTGATTCCACCACACCACTGTAACTACAGGTGACAGAGGTGACATCACCACACCACTGTAACTACAGGTGACAGAGGTGACTCCACCACACCACTGTAACTACAGGTGACAGAGTGACCCCCCCAACACACCAACTGTAACTACAAAGAGAGGAGGTGATTCCATCAACCACTTGAAACTACAGGTGACAGGGTGACTCCACACACCACTGTAACTACAGGTTACAAGGTGACTCCCACCATCACCACTGGTAATTACAGGTGGACAGGAGGTGACTCCCCCCACGCTACTGTAACTAACAGGGAGACAGAGGAGTGACTCCACCACACTACTGTAACAACAGGTGAAGACGAGGGACTTCCACCACACACTATAGACTACAAGACCAGAGGTGACTCCACCACAACCAACTGTAACTACAGGTGACAGAGTGACTCCAAATCCACCATCACAACTGTAACTACAGGTGACAGAGGTGACTCCACCACACCACTGCAACTACAGGTGACAAAGGTGACTCCACCTCACCACTGAAACTACAGGAGACAGAGGTGACTCCACCACACCACTGTAACTACAGGTGACAGAGGTGACTCCACGACACCACTGTAACTACAAAAGACAGAGGTGACTCCACCACACCACTGCAACTACAGGTGACAGAGGTGACTCCACGACACCACTGTAACTACAGGTGACAGAGGTAACTCCACCACACAATTGTAACTACAGGTGACGGAGGTGACTCCACCACACCACTGTAACTACAGGTGACAAAGGTGACTCCACCACACCACTGTAACTACAGGTGACAGAGGTGACTCCACCACACCATTTTAACTACAGGTGACATAGGTGACTGCACCACACCACTCTAACTACAGGTGACAGAGGTGACTCCACCACACCACTGTAACTACAGGTGACAGAGGTTACCACCACACCACTGTAACTACAGGTGACAAAGGTGACTCCACCACACCACTGTAACTACAGATGACGAAGGTGACTCCACCACACCACTGTAACTACAGGTGACAAAGGTGACTCCACCACACCACTGTAATTATAGGTGACAGAGGTGACTCCACCACACCATTGTAACTACAGGAGTCAGAGGTGACTCCATCACACCACTGCAACTACAGGTGACACAGGTGAATCACCACACCACTGCAACTACAGGTGACACAGGTGACTCCACCACACCACTGTAACTACAGGTGACAGAGGTGAATCACCACACCACTGCAGGCGTTAGACAGTGACACAGGTTACTCCACCACACCACAGCAACTACAGGTACAACAGAGATTCCACACAACCACAGCACTACAGGTGACACAGGTGACTCCACCACACCACTGCAACTGCAGGAGACAAAGGTGACTCCACCACACCACTGTAACTACAGATGACGAAGGTGACTCCACCACACCACTGTAACTACAGGTGACAAAGGTGACTCCACCACACCACTGTAATTACAGGTGACAAAGGTGGCTCCACCACACCATTGTAACTACAGGAGACAGAGGTGACTCCATCACCACCACTGTAACAACAAGGTTACAACAGAGGTGGACACCACACACCACTGTAACTACAGGTGACAGAGGTGAACCACCACAACCACTGTAACTACAGGAAAATAGGTGACCCACCAACACCTACTACTGTAATTACAGGTGACACAGTGACACCACCACACCACTGCAACTACAGGTGACACAGGTGAATCACCTCACCAACACCACTCTGCAACTACAAGGTGACACAGAGACCTCCAATTCCACCACAACCACTTGTAACTACAGATGACAGAGGTGAATCACCACACCACTGCAACAACAGGTAGACACAGTGACTCCACCACACCACTGCAATTTTTTCTACAGGTGACACAGGTGAACCTCCACCACACCAATGTAACTACAGGTGACACAGATGACTCCACCACACCACTGCAACTGCAGAGGTGTGGACATCAAAGGTGACTCCCTCACACCATGAGCTACAGAGACAGAGTGTGAATCCACCACACCCACTGTACTACAGGTGACAAGGTGCTCCACCACACCACTGGTAACTACAGGTGAACACAGGTGACCTCTACCACACACTGCAGCAACTACACTTGACAAAGGTGACATCCACCACACCCCACTGAAACTACAGGTGACAGAGGGTGACTCGCACCACACCACTGTTAACTACAAGGTGGACACAGGTGACTCCACCACACCACGCAACCTACAGGTACAAAAGTGACTCCCCACTCCCCTGTTACTACAGGTGACAGAGTGACGTCCAACATCACCACTGTAACTACAGGGGACAGAGGTGACTCCACCACACCATGTAACTACATGTGACAGAGGTAAAGTCTACCACCTCCTCTTTTACACGCAGGTGACAGAGGTGACTCACCACACCATTTCTGTAACTACAGGGGACAGAGGTGACTTCCACCACACCACTGTAACACAGGAGACAGAGTAAGTCCCCACCACTCCGTCTGTTACTACCAGTGACAGAGGTGACTCACCACACCACTGTAACTACAGCTGAAGAGTGACTCCACCACACCACTGCAATAACAGGTGGCAAAGGTGACTCCACCAAACCACTGTAACTACAGCGACAGTGGTGACTTGCACACACCACTGTAACTACAGGGACAGAGGTGACTCCACCGCACCACCGCAACTACAGGTGACAAAGATGTACTCCACCCACACTGTAACTACAGGGACAGAGGTGACTCCACCACACCACCTGTACTACAGGTGATCATAGAGGTGACTCACCACACCACTGTAATTACAGGTGACTGAGGTGACTACTCCACCACACCACTGCAAAACTGCAGGCGACTGAGTGACTCCACCACACTTCCCACCTGTAACTACAGGTGGACAAGGTGTACCACCACACCACTGTAACTACAGTGACAGAGGTGACTCAACCACAACCACTGAAACTACAGGTGACCAAATGTGACGATCCACCACATCCACCACACCACTGTAACTACAGGCGACAGAGGTGACTCCACCACACCAATTTAACTACAGGTGACAGAGGTGACTGCACCACACCACTGTAACTGCAGGTGACATAGGTGACTCCACCACACTACTGTAACCACAGGTGACAAAGGTAACTCCACCACACCACTGTAACTACAGGTGACAGGAGTGACTCCACCACACCACTGAAACTACAGGTGACATAGGTGACTCCACCACACCACTGTAACTACAGGTGACAGAGGTGAATCACCACACCACTGCAACTACAGGTGACAAAGGTGACTCCACCACACCACTGCAACTACAGGTGACACAGGTGACTCCACCACACCACTGCAACTACAGGTGACACAGGTGACTCCACCACACCACTGCAACTGCAGGTGACAAAGGTGACTCCACCACACCACTGTAACTACAGATGACGATGTTGACCCCAGTCCCACCACAACAACTGAAACTACTAGAGGTGCAAAGGTGACTTCCACCACACCTGTAATACAGGTGACAAAGTGGCTTCCACCACACCTTTGGGGGGGGGGGGGGGGGGGGGGGGGGGGGGAGGGAGGATTTCGGAACGGTACAGGAGACAGAGGTAACTCCATCACATTAATCACACCACCTGTAACACAGGTGACAAAGGTGACTCCACGACACCACTGTAACTACAGGTGACAGAGGTGAATCACCACACCACTGTAACTACAGAAGACAGAGGTGACTCCCCCACACCACTGCAACTACAGGTGACACAGGTGACTCCACCACACCACTGTAACTACAGGTGACAGAGGTGACTCCACCACACCACTGTAACTACAGGTGACAGAGGTGAATCACCACACCACTGCAATTACAGGTGACACAGGTGACTCCACCACACCACTGCAACTACAGGTGACACAGGTGATTCCACCACACCACTGCAACTACAGGTGACACAGGTGACTCCACCACACCACTGCAACTGCAGGAGACAAAGGTGACTCCACCACACCACTGTAACTACAGATGACGAAGGTGACTCCACCACACCACTGTAA